ATGTGGAAGCACTTCCCAAATCAGCTCCGTTAATTTTTGCCGAGTGACCAAAGATGTGTGGGGCCTAGCGTTGTCATGGTGAAAGACTATACCCATCCGATTAGCTAGTGCCGGCTCCTTTTCTTTAATTTTTTCCGCCAAATTGGATAGCTGGCGACAGTACACATTTCATTCCGGCCCAGCAGCTCAAAGTGCACTACACCCTTCCAATTCCACCAAACAGACAGCATAGCTTTCCTCTGATGGATATTGGCTTTTGGGCTGACTCATTTTTCTTGCTCCATGATCTTTTTCGTTGGACATTATTGTAAACAACCCGCTTTTCGTCGCCAGTAATGATCCGCTTCAAAAAAGGATCGTTTTTAATCCGTTGCAGCAGAGAATAGCAGATGTTGATACGCTTAGTTAGGTGAATTTCCTTTAAGTTATGCGGAACCCAAACATCGAGCTTGCTTACGTAGCCAAGTTTCTTCAAATGGTTTTCAACCGTTGAATCCGACACACTGAGCTTCTCTGACATCTCCCGCGTTGAATAACGCCGGTTTTCATCCAGCAAAGCCTGAATTTGTTCGTCAAAACGGCCGATGGTCGACCAGAACGTGGGGCGTCTTTGACTCAAAAATCTCCAAGCCTGAATTTGGCAAACCAGCGCTGACATTGGCGATCACTCATGGCATCTTTACCATACACTTTGCACAATTTTTCGCGAGCTTCGACCGCTTTTTTTCCTTTTTGGAAGTAAAAAAGCAAAATATGCCAAAAATGCTCACTTTGGTCCTCCATGTTTAATTTGCTATAGCTTCCACAAATGTTATCGAATAATTACCAAATTTTCGTCGATAGTACCTAAGACAATAAGCTTTAAAAAGATACTAAAAAGTGTGACCTTGGTGCTCGATTAGTCGTAAATAAATTAGATTAAAAACGATTACTAAAAAAAACGACATGACTTTCTTGCCAACCCAATAGAACACAAGAGAGATCCGCAGAAATGGCAAGGCTGTTTTCTTTAGCTTAATATCAACACCTTTATCTCAATCGATATGCACAGATAAAGAAAAGTCAATATTGAAAAAGTGGAAAACTTATTAATTTTAGACGTTATTAGATAATATAGATAAATAACGTTCTAATACTTGAAAGCTATTTCTATCCACTTTGCAGATAATTGATAAGGCTAAAAAATGTTAAATATCATCGGAAAATAATTCCTAAATTACCGTTCATTTCGTTTTTCTTTATCAGCACTTAAATGGTATTCAATCTTGTATTATTTTTTAGGGAAATTCAAACAGTAGAAAACAACTGGCAAATTTGTTTGGAGTAATTGTTCTTGTAAATTGTGGCTTAAATCAGAGCTTTAGCTTTTTAATTTTTCATTGCTTTTATATTCTTCTGCTTTTTGCTCCCTTCAAATTTCAGACATTTTTCACACTTATCGTTGTCGTTGCAATTCTGGGGTTTCGAATTGAATTTTATGTCCTCTGTTTGTTTTCCATCGCCGATAACTCAAAGCAGATTTCATTTCTCTCCCGCTCGATGGATGTGCCAACAGAATGAGGAATGGAGTCCTGGGCCAAGGAATCCCTATTTAGGAGCCAGTGCCATCGGTGTCCGCTCCGATTTCTGCCAATTTTCCGCACTCTTCTCCGTTTTTCCGCAGAGCTGCCGCAATCCGTGACGCATTCCGGATCCCCAAATTGCCACATGGTCCCTCCGACGGCAAAGGGAATCGAAAAATGCAACTGAAAATCGCTCAGACAATGGCCGAGGGGGTTAAGAGGGGCGTTAAGGGTTAAGCAGGGTTCCGGGTGCGGGGCTCGGGGTGAAGGAACAACGAAAAATGCAAATTGTCAAACATGCAACGCAATTGACGAGAGAAGAACTGTGAGGCACGCACAACAATGGGAAGGTGCTTACACTGTCGATTATTTCCAGTTAATCGATAAAAAAGGTGATATGCACTCCTCTTTTGTATTGGGTTGGCAAGAAAGTCATGTCGTTTTTTTTAGTAATCGTTTTTAATCAAATTTTTTTACGACTAATCGAGCACCAGGGTCACACTTTTTAGTATCTTTTTAAAGCTTATTGTCTTAGGTACTATCGACGAAAATTTGGTAATTATTCGATAACATTTGTGGAAGCTATAGCAAATTAAACATGGAGGACCAAAGTGAGCATTTTCGGCATATTTTGATTTTTTACTTCCAAAAAGGAAGAAAAGCGGTCGAAGCTCGCGAAAAATTGTGCGAAGTGTATGGTAAAGATGCCATGAGTGATCGCCAATGTCAGCGCTGGTTTGCCAAATCCAGGCTTGGAGATTTTGGAGTTAAAGACGCCCCACGTTCTGGTCGACCATCGGCCGTTTTTGACGAACAAATTCAGGCTTTGCTGGATGAAAACCGGCGTTATTCAACGCGGGAGATGTCAGAGAAGCTCAAAGTGTCGCATACAACGGTTGAAAACCATTTGAAGGAACTTGGCTACGTAGGCAAGCTCGATGTTTGGGTTCCGCATAACTTAAAGGAAATTCACCTAACTAAGCGTATCAACATCTGCTATTCTCTGCTGCAACGGATTAAGCAGGTTGTTTACAATAATGTCCAACGAAAAAGATCATGGAGCAAGAAAGATGAGCCAGCCCAAAGGCCAATATCCATCAGAGGAAAGCTATGCTGTCTGTTTTTGTGGAATTGGAAGGGTGTAGTGCACTTTGAGCTGCTGGGACGGAATGAAACCATCAATTCAGATGTGTACTGTCGCCAGCTATTCAAAATTAAAGAAAAGGAGCCGGCACTAGCTAATCGGATGGGTATAGTCTTTCACCATGACAACGCTAGGCCCCACACATCTTTGGTCACTCGGCAAGAATTAACGGAGCTGATTTGGGAAGTGCTACCACATCCACCTTATAGTCCGGACTTAGCACCTTCAGATTAGCATTTGTTCCGCTCTCTTCAAAACTCTTTGAATGGTAAAAACTTTGATTCAGATGAGGCTGTCGAAAACCACTTGTCTCGATTCTTTGCTGGAAAAGACCAAAAGTTCTTCGAGCGCGGAATTATGCAGCTGCCCGAAAGATGGTCATTAGTGGTCGAACAAAACGGCCAATACATAAATGATTAAAATTAAATTATAAGTCCTGATATAAATAAATCATCTTTGAAAATATTGAAAAAAAAAAACGACATGACTTTCTTGCCAACCCAATAAAAGAGTAACAATACGTTTTTCAACACTCCAAAGCCTTTCTAAATACAGTAAAATCCCAAATTTAAAATTAAAATGTGAACTGAATATGCTATTAACAATTTTGAGGGGGAATTTATGGGCTGTTAAACTCAGCTATAATTTGATTACAAATTGGAAGCAAATGTTTCAATTATCCAAAACAGATTCTGAAATATTCATATAAGACGTTAAACGAGTGCAAAAGTTTTCCTTCTGCTTTGTCACTTGCTCTTTTGAATTATGTTTTGCATCCGAAAAAGCTAGGAAATATGTGAAAGAAACAGACTGATTGTCAATTATGGTTCAGTTTCGTCTTTGCTTCATCCTTTATTAAAATGTCGCATTCAACATGTTGGTGCCACTGTTAATATTGCATTACCTTTATAAATTAAACAAAAAACATTTTCAAGATACGTCGCATAATGACATTTTGAAACTGAGTATTAATTATGCCAAAATTTGGGTCAAGTACTGAAAGTATTGGTTAGCAATTGCAGATTCAGATTGGTTGGCTATTGAATTCGAATTGATACCAACTTTTTAAACACACAAAAATAAATATTTTTCACATTTAAAAGATTGTTGTTCAAAATATTCAACACCGAAATTTTATTTTTTTTTTTTAGGGGAATAACAAAGGGAAAATGTTTCGTTAAAAATATATGGATTTATTTTATTTTATTTAGTGTCTTGGTTTATATGACATGGTTCAATATGAGAGGTCAATAGGAATTTAAATGAAATCGGAATGCATCATATTAACAACCAATATCTAGTCAATTAAATCAGCAATTTGTCTGAATAGTTTTATATTGATGTTAAGGTTTTTGCAAAATACCATTTTGAAGTCCCAATTTTGCGATTTTTTCTCTGTGTATCAGCATAGTGAGTGGGTCCTTGGGTCCCTGGGTCCTCCCAAACATCGAAACGCTTTCTGCCGAGCTCGGGTGGTTTCCCTTATTGACAGGCCGTCACTCTGCCAGTCCGTCAATCTGCGGAGCTGCAGCATGTGGTATGAGGCATGTGGCATGTGACCCACTCCCTCGCAGTTTCCCAGGACGATCGGCAGCTAAGTCCCTGGCTGGAAATTAACCCGACCCGTGTCCTGCCTCCCCGCCCATATCCCTGCCTCTCAATCGACGACTGTTGGCGGATGGCGGATGGCTCGGCACATCCCGGCCGAGAAATGAAGGCAAGGAACTTGTTGCTTTTGCAGTTGGCAGCCGGCCCTCGGTCGAGTCATTTTTAAGCAGGCATAATTAATGGAACCAGCCCCGGATAATGTCAACATTATCGCAGCTAATTGACAGCGCAGGGGAGCAGAGAAGTGGATGGGGCGAAAGGGAATGGGACTTAATGGTGCTGGGAATATGGGAATGCAGATAATGGAGCAGCATAATTCCGAGACTCGGAGTAATTGGCCAAGGGTTAATCAAGATCTTTTTGGTTGTATAATGTTTCGATTTATAAAGTTGGAATAAGCCTAAAAATCCACTGAAGTGCACTTAAATATGTAGTTACTCTTGTTGGTAAATCAAATGTTTGCAACCACAAACACGCGCCACTTTTAGAACTGCAAAAACAGCCCTTGGCAAACTGGCTTTCTTTTAGCACTTTTTGTTGCACCTTTGGCAAATTAGCAGTTCACACCCCACAATTTTCGCACACTTTCCCTTGCTGTGCCTTTCAATTAGCGACTTTCCAGACATGTGAACCCACCAGTGATCTCACAGCAAGTATTTACCCAGAGAAATGAGCGGAGATCCGAGTTTGCATTAGAAAAAAAAAAACAGTTGAATTTATTTATTGTGCCTTAGACTAGTTAGATTTGAGCCTGGACTCTGTGGATCTTTAAGATCGCTTCCTATTTAGCGGGTACTCCTAACTATTATCGGAGATAAGTCGCTGCTCATTGTAGCGAATCGGATATGTGAGTGCGTTGCCCTTGTCCCAGGAGTAGAGTTCCTAAAGGGGATAGTACATACCAAATAAAGTAAATATACTATATATGTATATATAGTATATGCTTTTCGATGCTTACCACAGTCAGGGGATTGTAGCCCACGGTGGTGGTGTGGCTGAAGGGGTTCGAGAAGGGCAGGTTCGTGCTGAGCAGCTTGCCCTTGTACAAGTCGACCATGTATCGGATCTGGGTGTTCTTGTCCGTACCCGAATCGATGGCATACAGATTGCCGCACACGATGAACATCTCGCCAAACTGGTGGTGATCCAAGGTGATGTTGAAGTTGTACTGCATCTTCAGCGTCTCCGGATCCAACTGAATGGGGTGATCTCTTTAGAAAATACCTCCTTAGAGGAATAACCTACTTACCTTCGCGACCAGGGTGTTGTTCGAGTTGTAGGTGCTGTAGATCACCCACAGACCCACCTCGTCCACATTGAAGTCCATGTAGTTGAAGTCCGTCGTGTAGAGCTTGTTCCCAGCGGAAACTCCAGCATAGGGTAACTGTGTGGCTGGAGGAGTTCGGTTGTTGAGAAGATAGTACTCTAGTACAAGGAGTAAGTCACTTACTTATCTTCTTGAGGCTGATCAAGTCCAGCTTGACCACCAGATCGGAGTTCCTCTGCTGGTAGTAGAACGAGTTGTTGAAGACCACATGAGCATTGCCCTGAAAAGGAAGTTTGTTTACGAAAGGGTATTCGGATGTTAATGGTGACCCACTCACATGGAAACCCTCTGATATCTCGTACTTTCGCCTTGGGATACTGTTCATTCGGTACTGAATGCGGGTGGTGAACTCGAACAGGTTGTAGGGATCGTTCTCGTTTGTCACGAAGGTCTTCTCGCGATCGCTCTCCGGCGAAGGATCCCTCAGCCAGGAACCGAACTTCTCGTTGACCACCTTGTGGAAAACTGGCTTGCCCACCGCATACAGATAGCAAGCTATTAGGAAAAAGACGTTACTTTAGTTTGGGAAAAGAAGGAGGGCTTCTACTTACTCTTCGGTCGCTTGGGCAAACCTGGGTAACTCAGGTTGCCGGTGGGTTGGATTTCGAAGTTGTTCAGTATGGAGTCCTTGCACTGGTACAGACTAAAGAGAAATACGAGTTTTAGGGACGAAGGGAATGTATTTTAAGAGCTTACCTGGGATCTGGACACTGGTCGCACACGGGACACTCGCTCTCCGGCGGCCTTTGGCCGTAGACCTTGATGCTGTTGCCCACATACGGTGTCTCACTGTTCGGATCTTGGGCTGAAAGTTATTGGGTTTGACCAAGACTTCACATCTGGTTACGCTGAGAAACTTACGTGCTATTTCAAAGTTGACCATGGTGGCGTTCAGCTCATTCCGCGCCACACAGTGGTAGTAGCCGAAGTCATCCTTGCGCAGATTGCTGATGGTCAGGCGCATCGACGTCTTGAAGCTAAATACCAAGGTGAGTACGAAGTAAGGGTAAGCTCGACGGACAGACTCACCCCTCCGGATACGACTCAATGCCGTACTTCTCGCTGGGATCCAGGATCTTGCCGTCGTAGGCTCTTTCCCAGTACCTAATCGCCTCGGGAAAGGCCTCCACCAAGCACTCGAGTGTCGCACTGCTCTGGTACTCCGCGTAGATCATCTGGCGGTACACCGAGATCATGGGAGCAACTGCAAGATCAGGGAGCGATTTCTGTAGAAGGAAACCTCAGTAGCTTGAGGCATACTTACAGTGAACCTCCACGATGAAAGTGGCATTGGCCACTGGGGCGATTCCGTTGTTGGCATAACAAGTGTAGGCCGCCATTTGGTTTCGCGTGATGTTGGTGAACTTGAGGAACTGTCCGCTGATGGAGGCCACTGAATTCGAAGGGGTTTGGTTATTGAAGTACGGAAACGAAATCCGGAGACTCACTCTCTATCCCGTTCACATTGATGGTGCGTCCGTCCTCGCGACGCCACTCCACCTGAGGAGTTGGGGTTCCTGTCGCAGAACAGCTCAGGTTCAGGGACTTGCCCTCCTCCACAATTACCGTCCGTTGGAAGTCCGGCTGTTGAATGTCTGAAAAGGCAGTAAAAGTATAAAATTAAGGAAGTGTAATATACAACAATACAAATTCCGAAAACCCCTTTTCTTTCTTTTAAACTTGAAGCCCCAAGCTAAATATATTCATTTATTAAAACCCTTTGTAGTTAGTTTATCATAAGCAAAGTTCAAGTAGATTAGAATTATGTCGGTAGGTTCTGATTAAACTTAACAACTTGCCTGTTATCGAGGGTGGAATGAGCAGATCATTCGAGGAGCTGCCGTTGGGATATTGCAATTTCCAGGCATTGATGCCGGGAATTCCGGGAGTGCCATTGGTGCCCGGTTTCCCAGGACGACCACGAGGACCTGCAATGCCTGTTTAAGGAAGTGGAAAAGTTGGGATTATAAAGAAAGGTATAAAGAAAGGTATGATTAAACTAGTTGCACTTTTAACTTCAGGCTTAATGCTTTAAAAAAACAAGCCTCTGATCTGATGACTCACCCTTGAGACCTCGTTCGCCGGGAGGTCCCTGAGCTCCCTTGGGTCCCGTGATGGACAGCCCATCCTTGCCGTCCTTGCCGTGCAGTCCGTCCTTGCCATCGCGACCCGGCAGTCCGTTCTTGCCATCGGCGCCCGCTCGACCCGGCACTCCATCCAATCCCGGCTCACCGGGCACCCCGTCCCGACCATCCAGGCCACCTCTTCCGACGGCCCCGGCATCCCCCCTTGGGTCCCCTCGGTCCGGGGGTCCCACGTGGCCCACACCGTCGATTCCAGGTGCTCCTGGCAGTCCGACGTCGCCGCGGTTGCCCTTGGGACCCGGGATGCCCGGAAGTCCTGGGCTGCCGGTTGGACCCTTGGGACCAACTTCACCCGTGGGTCCCTGCGGAGCTGGTGGGCAGTAGTCCTGGGTGCCCTTGCAGAAGCCCGTGATGATCTTCTCCGGCACGCGGCAGTAGGTGTTCAGGTAGATCCACTCGTCGCCGCCGGGAGCGGCGCCCTTCTGGCCCGTTCGCTTCCGTATCTCGGTGTCCTGCTCCTCGAGGACCTTGCGGTGGTTCGGGTTGAAGAACTCGATCAGGGGATCAGCTGGGGGGAGTCATTGAAAGCGTTATGTGGATAAGGACAGATACTATATATTGGAGTACCATGCATGGAGGCGGGGGCAGAGGAGGGGATGTCCCGCCGCATCCGTTTTCCGGTGGGTGAAGGCGTGTGGCTGATCAGGTTGTCCGTGAACTTGCGCTCGTTCTTCAGGGGATCCCGCGATGCAGTGGTGCTCCTGGATGTGGTGCTGCTGCTCAGAGGATTTGAGAGGGGTACAAAGGTAAGAAGAGATCGTGGTTGAAAGGTCTTAGGTGCCCACCTGCCACCCAGTTCCCGCTCGCTCTCGAGTATCCTGGCAACCAGGGAGCGTAGTTCGTCCTCCGATCGCAGCAGCTCCGCTTGGAACTGCGCTCTGAACGCCCTCGTCGAGTGGACGGGATCCTCGGTGGGCGTGGCCTCCTGGGTGTCCTGGGTGTGCGAGTAGAACACGATCGAGAGGCTGGCCAGGATCAGGGTGAGTGCACCCAGGTAGACGTAGACCAGCGCCAGCGACTGGCGGCCGGGGCACTTGCACACCCGGCATCCCGGTCCGCCGATCACCAGGTGGTCGCTGGAGGCACTTGGCTCGAGGGGAGCGACGGGGGCGACCCCTCCGCAGGATCCTCCTGCGGATCATCCCCGTTCGTCCGCCGCTTGCGCTTCTTCTTGCTGGTGTTCTGCAGACTCTGGTTAACCGCCAGAAACATTTTACCGCGTTAGGTTAGCTGCAAAGAATCGGACGTGGAACAGAGGGATAATGTTTGAGATCCAATTGGAGTTTTCCGATTTCTATTAGCTGGGGTAAGATACAATATTAAGAAACAAACTCTTTAGTGTTGGGATTATAATTTCATTATTAACTCAATATTCTATTTTCCTTTTTTAAATTGTTGATTGCAAAGTCTATTTCAAAATACCCAAAAAGTGTTAAAACAGAAATTTTTAACTTCAAAAAAGCATTTATTTAAAATAAATAGTGTATTGCAAAGTTGTTTTGTAATCTTACGATTAATCATTCTTTGCAATATTAAGCAATAGCTCTTCCTTTGATATTTTCAATAATGTATTTCTCGAAGTGCCAATAGAAATCAGTTTTATAAGCGAATGTCTTTTAATATTTCGATTTTGATTTGTTTTGATTTACGGCCGGCGAGTGCAGTCGAAAATAAAATGCCATACTTATAGACTGAATGAATGGCTATAATTAAACCACTGCCTGCTGGCTCCGGAGCGATTAAGTTTGAATAAAACGCGGAATGGCGATGCATTTCCTCGGTTTCCCCGATTTCCCCGATTTTTCCGCTTTCCCCCGCTTTTTACATACTTGTATACATAAGAGCAGAGCCCGTGGCCGCACAACTTTTCACACTTTTCCTCTGGAGTCGCCGAAAGTGCGGGGGTGTGAGAAGGTGCGACGGAGATGGAGGAGGCGGTAGACAGAGACAGACAGAGTGAGTGAGTGAGTGAGTGAGTGTGTGTGGGAGAGAGAGAGAGAGAGAGCTGCTTCCGAACGCGTTGGCGTCTAATGCTCGACTGAGCGCTTTTCCTCCGCAGCGGTTTGTTTTCCACGCTTTCGCCGGCAACTTTCCCACGCATCCGTTTCACACTCTCTCTGTTTCCTCGCTCGCTCTCCGCCGCTCTCTCTCAGTTTGCGGGAGAGTGGACGGCTATATCCTATAGCTATAGCCTTACGCACATCGTAAATAAGTCGCAAGACTTGAGATTCGCTTGATTTCTGCTAATTTAAGAACCAGAAAACACAAAACAAACCCCATAAATTTTAAGTGGAAAAGTGTTTGCTGTCCGAACCCAAACATAATTATATTCTAAAACAGGAATTAACCGTGGAAATCTAGGGGAAATCATTAACGGAGCGGGAGAGAGAGAGTTCCACGCCTGCGCGATGAAAAGCCTTCTGTTTTTCCTTTTTCCGTTTCCCTATTCCCTATTCCCAATCCCCTACCCCCTACCCCCTATCCCTTATCCTTTATCCTTAAGACCTGCACAGGATACTCCTCCGTGTAAGCGAAGGATGCGGGGAAGTCAACTGTGAATGCACACGGCTCAGGAGGAAAGCTGTCTTGGCTCGGCTTGATTTCGCCTCCTCGGAGAGGGAATACTCCTCGGCGATATCCTCCTCAACAAGTACAAAGTTTAATGGGCCAAACTTGGCCCATGGCAGCCGGAAAGTTTCCCTATTCGCAATCATGGCCTTCCCACTCGAGTTTCCCGCAAGACACTCTATTTGGAATAGTGAGTATCACGAATGTTTTCCTTGCCTGGAAAATGTCTATCTGTGCATCTTTGGGCTTTAAGTGAGTTACTCGCATTTAATTTCATTGCAACCACTTGACTTTTAATCGAACTTCTCTCGCTCGAATTTCATCGATATTTCATTCTCGAATATCTCAATTTAAAATGCGTTTTAAGTCCGCATTTCTTTGCTGACTTATTTCATTGTCCCCATATTTATTTTCGCTCTCTTTTTTTGGTTCTCTCTCCGCTTACTTAGTAATTATCGCAATTAGCGCTTCAATTCTGTCGCTCCAGCCGCAAACGATTCAAATTGATTGCATTTGCTCAAATAATTAAATGTGATTATGTGACGTTTCGAGTGCCACTCGATTATTGTTTGCCACGCCCACCGTCCATTCGACAACCATTCACCGCCCACCCACTCTTCTGCAAGCACTTAGCGCTTAATTTGCATTTCTGTTTCTGTTGCGAAGGCGAATCGAATTTACATTGGCCAAATGCATGCGAGAGCACGGCCCAAAGGCCAATGAGCCGTAACGAGCTCGTTAACTGTTAACTGGCGGAGCAGGACCTGCATCCTGGAATCAGGACCTGCATTTCAGCGATTTACTTCTGCCAGCTGGGCTCCGCATTAGTGGCCCAAACACAATGGCCAGTAAGGCCAGAAAGAGCGGAAAGGGAAGAAAGGCGGAGGAGCGGCAATTCGCCATCAAAGGCCAATGTCAGAAAGTTGGCAGCATCAGATGTACAGAGAGAAAATATCACAAGTGCATCTTGTTCAACGAAAAAGGCTTGCTAATTAAGGTGGGGCTCTTATCGTTGATGTTTCAATTTTGCTGCTCGAAACCTACATATTTGCTTTGGATATTCAGTTGTTCGTAGAGAGAAAAAATCCTTCATAAAAGTTAGCTTTATTTATTTTTATTTCGGTTGTGGAAATAATATAATAATATAATATAATAATAATAATAATATTTATATGATATATGTTAGTATATTTCAAAATAACATATGTACATATTATTGATTTAGCTAGTAACAAGTTGGATGATAAAATGAGTTTACTTTTAGGAATTCAAGGGGGAAATTGGTACTTGGATTCCGACTAAAATTATTTAAGTAAAATAATTTGATTGTCAAATTATGTTCCGTTTGAGCTACTAACAACTCAGGTTAGAACTTGATATAGAGGTCTTCCATTCAAAACGAGTTTTCAAGATAGACCTTCGAAGGACCCACCAGACTCCCTGCTGAGCTGAGCTCTTCCATATTACGCTTATTATTGTGCGGGGATTTTCCGCGTGCAAAGCCAACTGGGAGCCGGGCCAAGCTGTTTGGCGGTTTGGCACAGCGCCTTTCCACGCGGGCCAATACTTGTAAGCGGCTTACTGCCAAGCATCCGCAACAGCAACAGCAACAGCAACAGCGGCAATGGCAGCAACAAGCCGCAGCAGGAGCAACAAGCCACGGCTGGAACCCAAGAACCCGAGAACCCAAGAACCCAAGAACCCAAGAACCAAAGCCAAAGTTTAAGCCAAAGCCAAAGGCAAAGGAAAAGCCAAAGTGGAAGCCGCAGACCAAGTCGGCAAACAACGGCAGCGAAGCCAATAAATCAAAATGTCAAGATGATGGCCTTTGAAGTGCTTTCGAGCCGACTGAGTGGCGAAGGTGAGCCAAGTTGGTTTGCTGGCATGGTAACTTGGGGTCGCAGGTGGCAGCTGGAAGATCCAACAGGCAACAGACACCAGCCATCAGCCATCAGCCATCGGGCATTAGACATCAGCCATCAGACTGGGGACTGCAGAATTCAGACTTCAGACAGCGGAAGACAGACGTCGCTTAATTTCGAACAACAAGTCGGGGATCTCCCGGGGAAATGACAAATTAAATGACAAGAGCTGTCGGCTCGGGACGGCGGCATTTAGTTAGCCTCGGGCTTAACACGCCTCCATCTGCGGTGCCACCGAATTCGAGGTGTAGCTAAGCATATTGATTGTTGTTAATGCGCTCTGACCTCGGACACCACGTGGCGTATGCGTAATAAATGTATGCAAAGTCGCTCGAAAGTGCCCGCCAAAGTGGGATTACTTTCACAAAAAACGGTTATCACTCGGAAAAAAAGTTTATTTATTGAATTTCCCAAAGACATTTATCTCAATGTTTCGATTTTATGATTTATATACAAGTATTTCATTATTTGTTTGTTCATTTATTTTTTGCATATTCGTGTATTAATGCCAATTAATGCTCTGCGTATAATTAATTAGTTAAAAATATAACATTTACTAACCATTGCAATGGGTACTTGCATAAAAAAGTGCAGGCCGATTAAAACTTCAAAAGGATGTTTATATATTGCCATATAAATCACTCTGGATATATTTCAACATAACTTATGTGTAATAAATAGAAATGCTAATTTCCAAATGTATGGCATTAAATTTGATTAATTAGTCGATAGTCATCCCCTTACATTTCTCTGTTTACTTTTTCGTACACAAGTATTCCCTATTACAAAATAAAACATTGAGCTACATATAGTATATATGAAAGATTATCTGTATGCAAAATACAAGTAGAAGAAAGAGTTAATCTTTGATGTGATGTTCTAGTGGCATTTGGTTTTTGTTCTGTGCAGCTGGCTTTTATAACCCCAGCAGACGCACGGCCGAAAGTGCATTCGGAGTTTGGTTTTTTATGGCCCAGTTGGCAATAAAACCCGAGCAGAACAACAACAACGCTTCCAAAAACAAAACGAAAACAATATGGCAGTGGCTCCGTTCGCTTGAAGGAAGCGAAATTGAAATTTTATTAGCATATTTCCTAGGCTCTCTCGAGGATTTCGCCTCGCTTTCAATCAGGCTGATTGAAGCACAAGGTTCTTCAGAGAAAATAACTTCGGAAGTAGGAAATTGTCCACAAGCCACAAACTATCCAAGAGGCCATTGTAAAGAATGTTTAATGCGGTTGATGCTTTTCAGGGCACCACAGTTAGAATACTCAATCAGTTCAAATGATATCACAGACAGCAGAAGCCTTACCATAAAATTCAAACTGAGATGAAAGTGAGTTTTACAATTTGTTTACCATTTTAAGAATAAAGGTGAACAAAATAAATTTATTCCAGGACACTTTTTGAAAGTGTTAAACATGTAAACAATACTAGATTGTAGAACATGTTTTAAATATTCCTTTAAATAATTTAAACAACCAAACCCTTTTATATTTCCTAAGTATTTATTGCAATAAAAAGGTCAAGTCAAGCTGCAGTTCGAATTTTATGTTGATTAAGCTTGTTAATTACATTCTGTGGAATATTTCGAGGGACTAAAGGTGAGGGAAAACACATTCCGCTTCATAAATAAGATTCCCGCAAGTTTGGGGCGTGGGAAATGTCTTCAGGTAATTTCTTAATTGCCGCCCGTCGCGGAAAACGGAAGTGGGCGTGGCAATCGGCGTTGAAATTTCTGACAGCGTCCCCCCAAACATCATCTCCAATTGTTTTCGGGGGAAAGGGGAGTTTTCTTTGGTTCGTTTGCTCCGGTTTGCATTGCCTTTGCATATTTATGAGGGTGGCTACCGGGGAAAAGTTGTGGAAAGCTGGCAGAACGAACAGAAAGCATTGAACGCTTATCTATCACAGAGGAACAAAAAAAAAAAAAGAAGAAAAAGGAAACTGGAGGCCTACGGAGGCTCTTGCCTTCGGCTTTTCGCAGGGAAACGCAAACAACAACAAAATCAACAGAGGAAATGTTTTCAGAGTTCAACTGAAGCAGAAAAGCTAAGCTCCGGCAATTCGAGTCAGCAAGAAAAAATTAAATGAATTTTAAAGTTCCAGTCTTTGTGTCTTCAGTCTCTCAAGGTATAGATTTAATATTGAGTTGGGTTTTGGGGAAACAATTTCATAATTTTGAACAGTCAAAAAAGCCGACATGATTTATAGTACTTTCTTCAGTTATTTTATAAACAAAAACAAATATAAGTTTAATTTTGTGAGGTAAACATAATTAATTTTTGTCTTTTGTACAAAAATCAAATGTATAATATTGGTATCCCTTTTAGTGCACTTCTGCTCAAACTAAGTTTTTGTAATAACTTTTAATTAATAGTACTTTGGGTTATTTTGTTTAAATTGCGTTTTCAGCTCGAAAGGAGATACATTTTAAATTCTAGGATCGACTTTGTTTACTCATTTTCCAGCTGCCTTTATTTATTTCAATTGTATTCCTTTTGTCTCCGCCATTTGGTTTCGGATTGCCTTAAAAAA